AATGCTGGAGATCGCATGATAGAATTTTGCAAGATCAATGACTTACTCATTGCAAATACCTTTTTTCAACAACATGGACTATACATACGGACTTCACCAGATGGAATACACAGCAATCAGACTGACTACATCTGTGGCAAGAGGCAATGGAGAAGTTCAATATTTTTGGCTAAAACAAGGCCAGGAGCTGATTGTGAAACAGATCATCAACTGCTCATATGCACATTCAAGTTGAAGTTGAAGACAATTAAAACAAGTCCACGAGAGCCAAAATATGACCTTGATAATATCCCTCCTGAATTTAGAGACCATTTAAAAAATAGATTTGATGCATTGAACACCAATGACCAAAAACCAGAGGAACTGTGGGATAACATCAAGAACATTATTCATGAAGAAAACAAAAAAGGGAGGGGGGAGGAGGGGGTGGGAGGAAAAAAAAAAAAAAAAAGAAAACAAAAAAGGTAATTAAAAAGACATGATGGACCTTGAGACCAGAAGAACTAGATGGTGCCTGGCTACCAATGCCAAACGCTCAGGAAAGGATCAAAACTGGAGATCCTGGATAGAGTGGGAGGAAAACTGTGGAACAAAATCCCCAAACACAATAATGACCAGAATTACTGGTCAGATGGAGTGTGGTGAGACCCCCACTACTATGGCCCTGGAATATATTTTGGGCCTGGAATAAAACTCACTCCCAGGGGCTGGCCCTCAGCCCAATAGTAAACAAGATGTACATGCAGACCACTCAACCCAGGGTGATGATGCACCCACATACTCTATGGAAATGCATCCCTCGGAGCAATCGAGCACAGGGCACCAGAGGGGCAACATTTACATGGAGGAAATGCAGGACACACAGGAGTGCATAACTATGAGGGTCATGGGGTGGGGGTGGGGGAGGGGCGGCAGCAGGTGTTACTGGGCAAGGAGGGGAGGATACTGGGTTAGGGTTGAGGATGGTAAATGGGGAATGAAACTAAATGTATATGAAATGTTGAACGTAAAACAAACTCTGCTCTGTAAACCTACACCTAAAGCACAATTAAAAATAGATAAATAAAAGTAAAAAATAAAATTAAAAAGAAAAAAAAAACTTGCTACTCAGAGTATGGTATGTGGACCATCAGCACTGGCATCACCTGCGAGCTTGTTAGAAACAGAATCTCAGGCTTTATCCAGACCTATTGAGTCACAGCTGTATTTTAGTAAAATCCTCATTTTTTTTTTTTTTAAAGACAGGAAAGGAAGAAAAGATCAAAATGGATGTCAGAAGAAACTCTGAAACTTGCCCTTCAGTGGAGAGTAGCTAAAAGCAAATATAAGAAATGACAAGACAAAAGAGCTGAACAGAAGATTTCAAAGAGCAGCTTGAGCAGACAAAGCCAATTACTATAATAAAATGTACAAAGACCTGCAGTTAGAAAACCAAAAGGGAAGAACACGCTCAGCATTTCTCAAGCTGAAAGAACTGAGGAAAAAATTCAAGCCTCCAGTTGTAATACTGAAAGATTCTATGGGCAAAATATTGAATGATGCAGGAAGCATCAAAAGAAGATGGAAGGAATACAGAGTCACTGTACCTTTTAAGACTTGGTCAATGTTTATCTATTTCAGGAGGTGGTATATGATCAAGAACCAATGGTATTAAAGGAAGAAATCAAAGCTGCACTGAAGGAATTGCTGAAGAACAAGGCTCAGAGGAATACCCACTGGGATGTTTCAACAAACGGATGCCCCACTGGAGGCACTCACTCAGCTATGCCAAGAGATGTAGAAGACAGCTACCTGGCCAACTGACTTTAAGAGATCCATATTTGTACCCATTCCAAAGAAAGGTGATCCCACAGAATGTGGAAATTATTGAACAATATCTTTAATATAATATGCAAGTAAAATCTTATTGAAGATATTCAAAAACAGTTGCAGCAGTATATTGACAGAGAGCTTCCAGAAATAGAAGCTAGATTCAGAAGAGGATGTGGAACAAGGGATATCATTGCTGATGTCAGATGGGTCTTAGCTGAAAGCAAAGAATACCAGGAAGATGTTTACTTATGTTTTATTAACTATGCAAAAGCATTTGATTGTGTGAATCATAACAAATTGTGGATAACATTGAGAAGAATGGGAATTCCAGAACACTTGATTGTACTCATGAGGAACCTGTACATAGATCAGAACAAGGGGATACTGCATGGTTCAAAATCAAGAAAGGAGTAAATCACTATACTTATTCAACTTGCATGCTGAGCAAATAATCCAAGAACTGGATTATATGAAGAAGAAGGTGGCAACAGGATTGGAGGAAGACTCATTAACCTGCAATACACAGATGACACAAGTTTGTTTGCTGAACGTGAGGATGACTTGGAGCACTTACTGCTGAAGATTAAAGACTACAGTCTGCAGTATGGATTACACCTCAATATAAAGAAAACAAAAATCTTCACAACTCATCCAATAAACAGCTTCACAATTGATGGAGAAAAGATTAAAGTTGTCAAGGATTTCATATTACTTGGTTCTACACCACTGGAAGCAGCAGTCAAGATATCAGATAACATATTGCACTGGGCAAATTGCTGCAAAAGACCTCTTTCAATTGATGAAGAGCAAAGATGTCTCCTTGAAGACTAAGGTGTGCCTAACCCATGCCACTGGAGCTCTGGTACATAGTGCCTAAGGCACTTGACTGCTAACCAGAAGGCTGGCGGTTCAAATCCACCAGCCACTCCTCGGAAGGAAGATGGGGCAATCTACTTCCACAGTGATACTGCCTCGGAAACCCAAGGAGGGGTCGCTATGAGTCGGGTCCGACTCGACGGCACATAACAACAACAACAACAACCCATGCCACGGTATTTTCAATTGTCTCTTACGCATGTGAGAGCTGGACAATGAATTAGGAAGACCAAAGAAGAGTAAATGCTTTTGAGTTGTGGTATTGGAGAAGAATGCTAAGAATACCATGGTTTTCTAAAAGGACTAACAAATCTGTCCTAGAAGTGCAGCTGGAATTCTCCTTGGAAGTGAGAACAGCCAGACTTCATTTCACCTACTCTGGTCATGTTGTCAGAAGGAACCATTCCCTGGAGAAGGATATCATGCTTGGTAAAGTGGAGGATCAATGAGGAAGGGGAAGGCCCTCAACAAAGTGGATAGACACAGCGGCTGCAATGATGGGCTCAGGTATAGCAAGGATCATGAGGCTGGCACAGGACCGGGCAATGTTTTGTTCTGCTGTGCACAGGGTCACTATGAGTTGGAGATGACTCAATGGCACCTAACAACAACAAGAACATATTGAAAAATCCCCCAAAGTTATTTCAGGTATCTGTGAGCTACATTCCAGGTCCAGCAAGCTATAAAGTTACAGAGCACTGCTGTTGGGAATTGGTTATCTTTTATTTCTGAGTGGATAAAGGAAGATGTCATTTTGTCAATTGTTAATCCTTTGTATTCATGATGCCACTTCCAGGTTTTTATCTGAGGAGTAATACAAGTATAAGTGGGGTGTGGTCTGTTTATAGTTATCCATTAACTTAACTTTCCCATAAGTGCTTGTATCTACCTCTAAAGTAATGTTACCATCACCAGGAAGAGAGCAGAAAGGCAAGACTGGTGGGGTCAAGTTAGGCATGGCACTTGCTGGTTAGCAGCTGGCACTTGACTGCTAACCAGAAGGCTGGTGGTTCAAACCCAATAGCCACTCCGCAGAAGGAAGACAGGGTGATCTATTTCCATAAAGATTTACTGCCTAGGAAACCCAAAGGGGGTTGCTGTGAGTCGGAATTGACTCGATGGCAGTGAGTTTGGTTTAGTTTATTTTTGCTACATCACCAAAGCTTACTTTCCCCTTAGAAGGGACAAGAAATTGCCTAAAGTAATGAAAATTGTCTTGGCATCTAGCTGAAGTCTGTCTTTTAAGTAGAGAACATGAACATCATAATCACCTCCAATCTTGAGGCAATCAGTCAAATAACTAACATTTTGAGAGAAAAGAAAAAAATCAGCAATCTCTTTAAGGTCAAGAATCAGCAGGGATAAGAAATGGGAAAAAGGAAAGGGTATCAGAAGCAGAATAATTATCACCTGTTTCTAAAGAGTTAGGTTAATTTATTTGGTTTTTGAAAGAGGCTGATAGAAGGGTAAGGGCATTTCTGTTCCTTACACTACTTCCTCCCACCCAAAAAGGATGGGAAGGGAAAGCAGGAAGGGCTATATCTGGCATTCACTAACTCCAAATGGAGAACATTCAATTATTGTTTCAAAAGTTTCTTCAATCAGAACACACTAACCCTTTCTTAATTTCAAACTGCTTACTTAAAAAAACAGGATATGATCGACCGAGAGAGACATGTAAACTCACGCAGTCCAGCATTCTTCACTGATGGTCAGGCCCAGAAGGCTTTTAGATCATGGCAGAGCCAGCAAAAGGGGCCCCAGGTCTCCTGACTCACATTTCCCACCAATATTTATTATGCACGCCCCTTTTTAAAAAAATTTTATTAATTTATTTTTATTATGCAGTTTTATATTATAAAATAAAAGCACATTACAGAAAAATGAAGTAGAAGGAAAGGAAGTCATCCATAATCCCATCATCATAATAACCACTATTGCATATTTTGTTCCTTTTTCATATGCTTATGAGTGTTTTTTTCCTTACATGGTTATAATCATATTAGATTAATGTTCTTCCCAATATAAAGGCTCCTCACATTACCATTAACACAATCAGAGAGGAAAAACTGAACACTGGTATGTGGAATAAAATCTGACATAACCTGAGCTGATTTCATTAATTTTGCTAAGGGCTGGTGCCCTCAAAGACAAGTTTGTTCCTCCTACTGAGACACACTAAAAATCTACAAAATCACCTGTCATTAGTGTTTGAATTTACATTCCTTTCATAGAGTGTTCAAAAGGGAACTCTCCAAAGGCACTGACATAAGAATTAGGCTGCTTAGCCCAGAAAAGTTCTAGTTACCTACCTGGTGCATCAGGTACTTGAAGAGGAATGAAAGGATCAGACACACTTAAAAGTGGCAGGCTAGGATCCACAGTCTGCCCACCCTTCCTTTTTTCAGCTGAAGTCGGTTGGAGGAGAAGGGGTCAAAGAGAGAAAAAAGAGACAAGCAGAAAACATCGAGTAAATCTAGGTGAATCTACCATTTATTAACCACAATAGCTCAAATTACAGATTAAGTCTCAACAGACTAAAAGGGGATGAGGAGATATGATCCAATGTAATGGCATAGTTCCTATGAGATACAGTCTAGTCCTTGAACATACAGTGAGATACCATTAATGATAAAACCAGGATATTTATACAAATCTGAAATTTCACTTTTTCTATAGATACAGCAGCTTACAGTGACCTCTCAGAATTCCCAAAGTAATTACTGTCCATACCATACATTCTGGCATATAAACAAACACATTGTAATCTAGCACATGTAATCTAGCATAGGTCTTCCCATACACCCATTACCCCTTTGAGGTTCTCAAGGACTTAAATTCTATTGCATCACCATGTCTAAATAATACTAGGCAGGCATACAGAAAGAGAAAAGAAATAAGACTCCTTGCCTGTTCAAGTTAGATAAGCCCTAACCTGTGAACTATGTTGAATATACCATTTGTATTCATTCTATACTTGACAATTTAATAGATTTACAAAAATCTATATACTCTACAGAATATCAGAGCTCTTACGGATCTTAGAATCTTCTAGTACAATTTTCTGGAAAAGAAAATAAAGCCTAGAAGTTAAGAGACCTGTTAGAGGTTCACCAGTAGAGAGGATCAGAATCCAGGTCTCTGGATCTCCAATTTATCATTCTTTAAACTGCATTTTATTATCTCTTTTGTCCATTAATTGAAATCCAAACAACACACAGGCATTTAGGGTGAACATTTACACTAGATAGGTGCACTCCTTAGAATAATCAACCATGGGAGATCAGAAGAGCAGCATTTGCACAGGGAGATAGCTCACAGGGCAGGAATGTATGGGAAAGAACACAGGGAGAAGGTAGCCACAGGGAGGAAAAGGGAGGAGGACTGTTGCATTGTGGGAATTGCAACCAAGGTTATGAAACAAAATGTGTATGAACTGTTTGTATGGAAAATGAATTTGGTCTGTAAACTTTCACCCAAATCACATACACACACACACACACAAAGGGGGGGAGGCACGCACACACACACACACACAAAACCTATTTAAAAATGAGTAAAAACCTATTTAAAAATGAGTAAAAACCTATTTAAAAATGAGTTCATACAGGCAAATACACAATGAAACACAACCAAGAATTGGGCATTAAAATTAGGAAAGGATGAATAATAATTAAGGACTTTAATTTTTACCATTAGTAAATCTAAGCTCCTATTCTTTGGCAAAAAGCAACCCTTTTCATTCACTCAAGAAATCTGTCTTTGAGGCAAGCAGCAATTTGCTTAAATGCTGGGATTTAGTGGTAAAGACACCTCTCCCAAAGATTATTCCATGACTTCCTTTTCCAGGGAAACTATATCCTATCCAGGGGCATACTTGGTCATTATTTTGATGTTCTGTCTCAAAGGTCAGTGCTTTATTTGATACTTTTTAACATGAGTATCACATTCTATATACCAAAATATACAGGTATCAAGAAATGTTTACTGACAGTATCATTCAGGTAATTTCTATTCTTAATTTCTTCTGGACCAGCTTTGTGTCAGCAACTTTATCAGTAGTTGTCTTTTCATATATAATAAATAACACCTGCTAGAGACAGAAACAAATGAGGACTGTTGTAGGCTACTGGTTAGGGTGAATGTAAGAGGAAGAAATGTATGGTGTGGGCAGCTCAGACAATGTTTGCTCTATAACTAAAAGGGAGATGTTATGTATATTTTTTTTTTTTATCAACTTATTGGTAAGAAATCAAGGACCAGAATTAGAATGAAAAGATTCTACGGCACAATAGAAGCAGACAGATGGGGCCAGATGGCATAATGAAACAATGTAAAGAAACAAAAAAATACCTAGGTGAAATTAAAATCTGCAATGGCCACAAGAACAGAAATAGCACTACTGGATATGGAATCAAATTTGAGAAGTTTTCCCAGAATTCCAAAGAAAAAAAAAAATAAAGGATTAAAGCTGGGACAAGACATATGGGAGGTGAACACAGAAGATTCAGTAGAGGGATAATTAGTGTTGTTTTTTTTTTAAGTGTTGTGATGGTGATGATAATGATGATGATGATGATGATGATGATGATGATTAAATTGTGGTTTGGGTGAAAATTAACAGAGCAAATTAGTTTTCATTCAAAAATTTATACACATTTTGTTTCTTGACATTGATTGCAATCCCTTCAATGTAACAGCACTCTTTCTCTACTTTCTTCTTGAGTTCCCAGTTCCATTTGTCCTTCTTTCCTACCCCTTCCTGCCTTCCGGGTTTTGTTTTTGGGCAAATGCAGCCCTGTGGTCTTATATGACTGACTGCTCTGAATGTTCCTCACAGGTGTGATAATTAGTTTCCTTAAAGAATACAACAAATGAAAGCTATGAATGATAAGGATATATAACAGAATAAAATCTTCCTGAGATAAAGAAAGGTATGAATCTGTAGAATCAAACTGCTCACCAGGTTTCAGGCAAAATGCATACAATGAGATTTATCTAACTACCTCTTGTTGATAATTTCAAACACTTAAAAAAAAAAACCAAAACCCTATTGTCCAGAGTGGGATCCAGCTCCTTGTGACCGCTCCTTGAGTTTCTGATGCAGTATGACCACTAAAGTAGATTACCCAATCTTCCTTCTGAGGAATGGCTGGTGTGTTTGAACCACCAGCCTTATGGTTAGCAGTCAAATGCCTTAGGCACTAGGGGAAAGCTGCCTACCAAAGAATAATCAACAGAAAGACTTCTCCTCTGACACATTATACACTAGATGATGACAGAGGAACTTTCCAAAATTTAAAGGGTATAAATTATGAAGGAGCTCTGGTGGCATAGTGCCTAAGGCATCTAACTGCTAACCAGAAGGCTGGTGGTTCAAACTCACCAGCCATGCCTCGGAAGGAAGGTTGGGCAATCTACATCTGTAGTGATATCGCCTCAGAAACCCAAGGTCTTTGAGTCAGGTCCAACTCCATGGCAGTGTGTTTGGTTTGGTTTGGTTATAAATTATGACCTAAGAATGTTTTACCTTATCTGAAAATAACAAAATACACTCCCAGAAACGAAGATTTTAAAGCACATCAACCAGAAATATATTCTGAAAAAAATTTACCTAAAGAAGTACTGTAGGCCAACCAGAATTCAATTTAAAAAATCATGAATGTGATATATTGAGATACAGTCACCAAATATTATATCTAAGTAATAATTACTTGGGTACAAAATAAAAATTTGTAATAATTCTTGAAAGATAAAACACATAACATAAAAAATTTAATAAAACCAGTCCAAAAATCCAAAGATCCAGTTCTTATATTAAGAAAAACCAGGAAGTAGAAGGAAGCAAACCATGCTTATTTCTTCTTCTCACATGGTGATGAGTGAATGTAAAATGTTTTATTATGGATGTGCAAATTTGAGAAATATCTAAAATATTCTTTTAAATTTATAAAATTATAAATTTTAAAATAAAATTATAAAGTGGTTGGATAAAATACCAAAAGAATAGATCCATTTAAAGCACAAAGAAAAATAAAAACATCAAACAAGAAAATAAACGTAACATTAATTGAAGTAAAAAAAGAAAAAAAAATCAATATTTAAGAACATAAAAAATAGATATAAAAACATATGTAATGATGTTAACTTTACTTCTGACAAAGATTTTTGCAGTGAGTCAAAACTCAACTACATGCTATTCAGAGTAGCATACCCCGAATCAAGATGGTATTTAACAATTAATACAAAAGAATGGGCAGAAAATAGTGTACAAAAGCAGTATCAACTAAGGTAGACTTTAAGGTGAAAACTTTTAAAGGGAATAATAAAACACATGATTTATACTAATAGAAAGTACAGTCCACAAGGTCTGAATGTTCTAAATATCACCAATCATTACAGAAAAAAGCTACAAATATGTAAGGAAAAAATTGTATGGAAACACAAGAGTAGGAGAACTTCACCACCACTGTCAGATCTCAACAGGTCAAATTCAGGCAAACCATCCCTCCATATAGAAAGAACGGAATGAAATGGCGTGGCTGACAAGGACTTGGTGTATTTGACAAGCATCACGTACTAAGTTTTGAAAGATTTTAAAACCTCACCAAAGCATCAATAAATTAAAAAATGAGAGAGCAGACAACAAAGGTCTAAAATGAAAAACACATTTTTTTTAACCTAAAAAAACATCAAACCAAACTCACTGCTATTGAGTCAATTCAACTCATAGCAACCCCTCCTTGGGTTTCTAAGGTGGTATCACTATGGAAGCAGATTGCCCAATCTTTTCAACTTACTTACCATTAAGAAGCATAACTCCCAAGTAATTCCAATGCCTATTCTAAAACAGTAACAATGAGAACATCAAATGAAGACTTATGGGATACGGTTAAAAAAAACAAAAAACCAAATTCACTGCCCTCAAGTCGGTTCCAACTCATAGCAACCCCTCCTTGGGTTTTTGAGGCAGTACTGCCCAATCTTCCTTCCAAGGAGTGGCTGGTGGGTTTGAACTGCCAGCCTTCTGGTTAACAGTCAAACACTTTAGGCATTATGCCATGGGATATGGATAAATCACCATAAACTCCCAACTTTTTCTTACTATAAAGCATGTTCAATGAACAGTAATACTCAATGGTTGGGGTGGAGTTATAGCAGTTTGAGGAAGAAGGAGAAAAAAGGATATTAGAACATCTGTATGTGAAAACAGGAGCTCTAGAGGCATAGTGCCTAAGGCATTTGACTGCTAACCAGAAGGCTGGCAGTTCAAACCCACCAGCCACTCCTCGGAAGAAAGGTTGGGCAATCTACTTCTGTAGTGATACCACCTGGGAAAACCAGGGAGGGTTCGCCATGAGTTGGATCCAACTCCATGGCAGTGAGTTTGGTTTTAGTTTTATATGTGAAAATGCCTTTTTGGAGATAATTAGCCTGTTTCCCCATTCCTATGCTGGCTGAAAATGAGAGTTATATCAAGAGAAAAACTTATAGCCTTAAATATCTTCATTATTTAAAAATGAAATTTAAAAAACTTACTAAATATTCTTGATGTAAACAAAGCAAACATAAGAAAAATTATCGTTGTTGTTATGTGTCGTCGAGTCAAACCCTACTCATAGCGATCCCTCCTTGGGTTTCTGAGGCAGTATCACTACGAAAGTAGGATTGCCCAACCTTCCTTCCGAGGAGTGGCTGGTGGGTTTGAACCGCCAGCCATCTGGTTAGCAGGCAAGTGTCTTAGCCACTATGCTACCAGAGCTCCATAACAAAAATAGGGAAATATAATTGAAAACACAAAAGTAGAAGTTAAAAAGTCAGAAGACAGGAAAACAGCCAAGAGCTGTCTTCGAAAAAATAATAGGAAACCTCTAGCAAATGTTATAAAGAAAAAAGAGAAACACAAATACATATAATTAAAATTGATATATACAAAGAAATTATAATAAAAGATTTATATGTATGATTCTATCTTATATAGAACTTTTTATAAGTTTAAAAAGGCAGCTAGCTGATTTGTTAGAAAACATAATTATTAAATTTGCCCCAGTAAGTGGCAGAAGACCTGATAGAAGAGGCTCTGGAGCTAGGAAGTCTAATGTGTCCCAGCTCTGCCACTTACTAGCTGTGTGACCCTGGAAAAGAGATGAGTCTGTGCTTCAGTTACCTTATCTATAAAGTGGGGATAATACACCAACTTCAAAGAGTTGTTGTGAGAGTTAGAGGAGATGTATTAGTATAGCACAAATGACAAACTGGGAAAAATGTTTACAATATATGAGACATGAAGGCTCTCACAAATTATTTAGGAAAAATAAAAATATGAACAATAAATCCATTGCCATCAAGTCGATTCTGACTCATAGCGACCCTTGAGGACACAACAGAACTGCCCCACAGGGTTTCCAAGGCTGTAAATCCTTACAGAAGCAGACTGCCTCATTTTCCCCCTGCAGAGCTGGCTGGTGGGTTCATACCACCAATCTTTTGGCTAGCAGCCCAATGCTTTAACTACTATGCCACCAGATATAACTCCCAAAGAAATAAAAATGGCCAGTTAACAAATATAATGTCCTCTGTCAGGGGGAAAAGTACTCTCATTCACTGTTGATGGAAATAAAACTTGTGTAGTATTCCAGGAATGTAATTTGGAAATATTTCAATATGTCTAAAAATACACATACTACTAGATTTAGCAAATTATCTCCTAAAAGTTATCTTGAAGAAATTGTAAAGCATATAACAAAAATTTAGTTTCAAAATCTTTGTATGTTGAAAAGTTAGTAACCACCTAAATATTCATTAAAGGAAATATGAGATACAATGTGTAAGTATTCTTCCATTAAATATCATGTTGAAGAAAATAAAAATCAAACCCACTGCCATCAAGTTGACTCTGACTCAAAGCAACCCTACAGGACAGAACCCATAGGGTTTCTGAGGTTCTACTCTTCATGGAAGCAGACTGCTGCATCTTCTACTCATGGGGTGGCTAGTGGGTTCATACTGGTTAGCAGTCAAGCGCTTAACCACTGCACAGCCAATGGACCTAGGAAACTATTAATGCCCATGGAATATTTATAAAAGGAATAACAAACTGGGTCATAGAAAACTCCTCAGTAATACTGTAAAGGAAAAATTGTATAGACCACACTGATCACAGTGCATTAAAATATATCCTAAATAACTGTTACTTAAAGAGGAGATCAAATCTGCAGCTTAAAAAATATCCAGAAAACAGTGAGAGTAGTATGAAAGCATTACATATCAAGTATTATGGAATGGGCAGCCAAAGTTCTAATGAGAAATAAGTTTATGAGGTTAAGAAAATTACTAACACACCTAAAGAAAGCAAGAAGAAGAATATATAAGGTTAAACGCAGAAATTAGTGTATTTTAAAAGATCAATTTCAGAAGTATATGAAATTCTGTATTCTGTAAAGAATATTTTCAAAACCTTATGTCCATTGCTGAGGGATTTACAATATAAAACACTGAAATCAAGTTAACTTTTAAAAAGAGGTCTTGATTTAAATACATTAGAACATACCTACAGAAAGGAATATAATGCATGTGTTTTAAAAATTACATTTTCTTTTTCAAATGATGAGGGAACACGTCCCAGACTAAGGGAAACGATTAGTTTTAAAAATAGTATGTACAATGAGTACAATATGTATATATATAAAAATACATGTGTGTATATATATATAAAGACATATATCAGAGTCTTAAATTGAGATCTAAAATTATATACAAAATTGTGATCACTTTCATCTTGGTGAGGGAAAAGTGTCAAAACTTTCATTAGATTCTCAAAAATATGAGTGATCCTAAAAAAACAGATTAAATGTCACTAACAGACGTGAAAATAGTATCCCTGTACTATCTCTTTCTTAGTGGTCATAGTGGATTTTAACTTTCTTCTCTATACTTTTATTGGTATAAATTATCAAGTTTTATATAGTAAATAAGTATAATTTTTATTAATAAAGGAGAAAATTCACTTCTTAATGCTTCTGTAATTAAAAAATAAAATCTCAATTGAAAAATTACCCCCTTACCCCATAAGCACACATACACAAACTCAGCTTAGAAGGGTCTTGGACACAGGACAGGCCATCTAATTGTTAAAATGCAAGTCATTCCAAAGAACCTAAACAATTACAAGAGATTAACAGAGTGAACAGACTTCCTGAGGGGAAGGGGATTTCTTTGGTTTAATGTTAGATAGCTATTTTTCCTCAAATTTAGAAATATTTAGACATGTCTATGGACTACAGAGAACAGCTGTGTATATTATTGCCAGATGAACCTGTCCTTTTAATTCAAAGTGGTTCTAGATTTTTCTCCACCCCTACCTTTTTGATTGGAAACTTTGTGAATGAAAGAAAATATAAGTTACTGCAAAGACTCGGGGGCTCACTGGCATGCTACAGTTATCTGTGCAGTGTAAAACAGTATGGAGGTAACAAAAATGAATGTCATGTTTCAGGGTGTTTGCCATACTAACCAGTTCCAGCAGGAAATGAAGAAGTTGCAAAAGCATCGCCTTGAGTTGGCTGAAAACCTGGGATCAAATTCTCAGCTGAGCCCCCAAGCTTCTCAGGATGTTTGCCTGGAGGGACACACATACCACTCAGTTCACTTCAGCCAGAATACTATAAACACATACTAGAAGTAAAGGGTATCCTCTGGATTGACTTCTAGAGTTGACTTATTTTACTAAACTATGCCATCACCTCAACTATTCAAAGACCCCTCTCTAGTCATTTCAATAACTGACAGAACAGCTGAGAAGAGGAAGAAATGTTTTAAGAGTCAGAAGAGACAGCACAGAGCTAAACCCTAAAGCTTAAGCACATGACTTAGAGCAGAATGCCTCTGCCTCTGGCCATCACTCTGAATCTATTGTTTCATATCATTCTAATGAGTATGATGATCTGTTTTCCTTGGTGGAAGCAGTTTTGAAGCAGCAAATAAAAAGGAGTGGTAGAGATAGCAGTAGTGTGACACTATGAGGGACGGCAATGACAGCTTATTGCGAAAGCTGACAGCTGAACAGTGAGAAGATAGGAAATTATTAAAAAATAGACTCAAGAATTTAAAAAAAACTCGAGAGTCACTTAATAGGGTACAAAAAAAAAAAAAAAAAAAAAAAAAACTACAGCTTTCAATAGTCCATCTGCATGGACATAAACTTCTATTTATAGCCCAGAACAATAACTGACACACTTAAAAATGAAACTGAGTTGTCAAAGTTAAATACTATGCCCTATCCTCTGTTTTAAAACCAAGAAAGTAAAATAGATTTTTAAAAGAATTCTATAAAATAATAACTAAAGTGTGGTAGTTAAGGTTGTGTGCCAACTTGGCTGGGCCTGGTTGAGTGGCTGGGCAGCTGGATGTAGTATTCCCCATGATGAGACTGGCAATCACCTCCATGGTTGGATCTACCACAAACAGCTCAGTAGCTCCTTTAGGGATGTGGTCTGCTTCCCAAATATAAGCAGCAGCTTTGGAAATGGTCTCTAGCTTATGGCATGCTTGAACTCTGCATGTAGCCGAGTAGTTCAGCAGCTTGCCATGCTCTGCTGATCTGGGGACTTTCAATGGACTTGAATTAATGACCTGCCATGGCAACCTTGAGTTCGTCAGCCTCAGCAGCCAGCAGCTGAGTGAAGAAAGCCTCCAGCTTCAGTGGGGCAGCAGCAGGAAGCAGAGCTGAAGCCCAAGGTTGAGGGGCTTTCACCCAGCCCCTAGAGCCTGGCACTCTGAACTTGGACTTAAAGCCTCCAAATTATAAGACTAAACTCCTGTTTTAAAAGCCACCCATCTGTAGTGTATTCTTGTCAGAGCATCACTAGGTAACCAGAACATAAAGCCAACGTGTTCGATCAATAGGTCATACCATTCATCTGGTTCTGATTATTCTTTTATTAGTGCTTTTGTCTATGTTGGTGTACTCTTTCTGAACTGCATCATCATGCAGTATTTTCTCAGGGTGTATGCTGTTGGTTTCCAAAAAGTATGTGTGTGTGTTCTGCTTTCAAAATTAGACTCTGTAAGGGCAGAAATGATCTTCTCTTTATTTGATCTCTTTTCTGTGGTCAGTCAACAGTAACGTACAACTCTGAACATAGTGGAAGATTCCACTACGTGAGGGCAAACTCTCATGGGTAAGTGGTTACAACTTTCTGGAACACTTCTCAATGAGACAGATTGACACAATAGCTGCAATAACAGGCTCAAACATACCAACAGTCATGAAGATGGCACAGGCCAGGAAATTTTTCATTCTGTTATAAATAAGGTCACCATAAGTTGGAGCCACCTTGATGGCAACTAACAACAAATCTACTTACATTGGAGGGGAAGGGGGCTGCCATCACAGTCTTCTAAAGCGTGGCCATGCTTCATACTATCATCCTGGTCTATGCTTAGCTTCTTTCCTAACGTTTACATTCTCCTTGCCACCACTCAAAACATTAGAATCTCCTGAGGGTGAAAGACTTCAGTGTTGTGGTAAAAATAAAAACAGATTTGCACACACACTTTGAAATCAAGCCTGTGAAGGAAAGAAAGGCCCAAGTCTACATTTTCACAAACACATCCCTCTAGAATTAAGGTTCATTCTAACTCCTGGTGTTTCCTAGCATAGAGAATTTACAACCAAGAATCACAAAAAGACACCAATTACTCACCTTCCCCCAGTTTGGCAAAGTCCTTGTTTAGCAGTTCTTCAGCTGTGAGTTTGGAGAAATTGTCATCATCGAAGGGATTCCATGTAGAACCTTCTGAAGGATTATAAACATTCTGCTGGGAGGTCCTAGGGGAGCCCGATGGAGTGGTGGTTGCAGACCTAGGTAGGTTCCCACCCCCACGAAAAAAACAAAACAAAAAAACAACATATAAAAGTTGAACAAAAGAGTCAACTTATTTTTTTTTGTTTCAGATCAAATTTTCTTCTGAGTCAAACCATTATTTGCCATGGTGTTTTTCTAAAAGAGCTTTCCATGGTAACTGAACAGCTTCCACAGATACCCTTTCCATTTTGTGAAAAAAACATCTCCCTGTTCTTCATGACTCACTACCTCCCACTACTTCTTTAATCTTTGCTTCGTTTGTTGGTCTTGGCTGCAGCTCCTTTCAATTCAGGATTCCAAAGTAACCTGCTCGTAGGCTTCTGCATCCTGTGGTGCCCACTGTAATAGCCACAATGACTGGCCCCTAGAGGGTGGGACTGAAGCCTATTCAGGCTGCCTCCCATTTTTCAGGACACATGTAGAATTAAACGCCACCATTAGTGGTCACCATCAAAGACAAATAGACAGCACCATAATGTGCTTCAAGGTCATCATTACCTAATTTCCTTCTAAAGTCTCTCTTGACACCCCTTTGAATTTAGCTAATGACTTACTTTAAAGATTGTTAACTTTAGAGTGGTTGGTTCCAAGAAAGCTGAGGGTCTGAAGTTGCATTTGTTCAACAAACAGTCATTGAAATCTACTTTATGGCAGGCACAGAGCCAGTTACTAGGTTTACAGAAGTTAACTAAGATATGCTCCTTATCTTGGAGGAACTTACAGGCTAGATAACCAGACACACAAACAAATAGTGATAAAACAATGTTACACATGCTCAAGAAAGGGATGATACAAAATGATACATGATACAAGAGGACCGAGCCTAGAAGGTTCAAAGAAAAAGTAACCTCTGACATGGATCTTGATGAATAAATAAGCATTTCCTAGACAGATGAGGAGGAGAGGGGCAGCTGGAGGAAATGCATAAGATGAGTAAAGGGCCATCAAGGTGAAAGTGGTCTACCAGTGTGATACAACAGGCCTTGGGGTGCTAACTGGTGAGTCAATGAAGAATTTTCAGCACAGAGAGACTTGGTCAGTTTAGAAAACATTCTAGAGCATGGGATGAATGGGACATGGAAACACTGAGTGAAGGAGGAAATTATTTCTTAAGATCAGTATGGTACATGCACTACAGGAAAATTCAGTTTCTTATTAAACACACATATATAATACACACTATACATACATACATAATGATCCATATGCAAAGAATCACAATAATAATGGCTAATGACAGGCCTTGCCCACAAAAATAAGAAAGACAAAGGGGAAGTACCACATACTTGGACTTATTGAGACTGGCCTCAGCTGCAGCTGCTTGGAGCAGCTGAGTTGATTTGCTGGCAGGGACCCCAAAGACTGCACTGTGGGTTACATCACTGAGAATCCGCCTGTGCCCAGCACGTTGGGTCTTGGGGGATGATGGAGGAGTGAGAGATCCGAGTTTCTGCCCCTGGATGGCAGGAGGCGGGGTTGTCTGAACCTTTGGCTGTTGTCTTATTGGGGCTTGAATCTGCTAGGGAGAGAGGTGGAGTGTTCCAAAAACAAAAAAAAAGGCAAAGGAAAAGGAAAAACAAATAAATAGACATAACAAAAAAGCCACATGAAAACTAACACGGGACTCAAATTGCTAAGTTTATCAATAATACCTAGAAAGAAAAACTAGGCTTTAACAATCTAAGCTGCAACTCTGAGACTGAAGCCAACATGGTTATTTCCCTGGTACTTTCATGTGCAAATCTGAATCTTCATCAGTGATAATACATAGGGTAACTATAGGTAGTAATTCAACCCAAAGCATAAGGCTGCATAAGCTATTTATAGTTCTAAAGATCTAGTATGTATTCTGCTTCCAGGGCCACACAAGAATTTGTCTAGAACATCTCCCAAAGGCAGGCCCCTAGGATTCTGCCACCACAGTCAGAAGCCAATGAAGACATATTTTCAAGCTAAAACACACGAGTGGCATGATTTCTGCTGAAAAGACCCCTGACTCTGATATTGTTGAGACTACCAGTCAGCAGTGAGTCAAGACAGACCACCACTGTGATTAAGAAATCACAGTGCTTTTTTTGTTTGTTTTTAAGGCTATGTATTTCATTGATGAATGGGAAGGGTCTACAAGATCCTATTTCTGTGAAACCCCTGAGAAAATGCATTAGGGCAGTGAGATTAACTTGTCATAATTTTCAGTCTAGCAATGATTTTGAGGAACCAGGTAGCAAATAAATGTAAGGAGGAAGAAAAATAGCCGTTTTGATGATAGTTGAACTGATAGCACAGGATTCTTGAGGTATGGACCATTTTCAGAACATAGGCCATACACTGTCACTACAGAACAACAAACAGATGCGAACATCCTTGCAGCCACATGGTTAGGCCTTAAGCATAAATCACCATCCACCAAGTACTACATCAAGGAAAATGAACAAAAAAATAATGTCAAGAAAGCCAACTAATCCTTTTCCTTAATTCTGACAATCCAGAGATAAAATGACATAGAATACTGAATGCCCCAGGAGTAAACTGTCCCTCCCCTCTAGCCCTTCATCCCAGACTAGAGCTGCCTCTCTGTGCAGCAGCTTAGTTCCCATGTTCTGTGTCTTTGAATGTATGCCTTGAGAGAGATTAGGGAAACCAGAGTACCCCAGTCCTTGGGTCAGGATGCTTATTGGGTCAGAATGCTTATATCAAAAACCATACCCACTGCCATCAAGTCGATTCTGGCTCATAGTAACCTCCATTGGGTTTCCAAGGTTGTAAGCCTTTATGGAAGTAGATTACATACATCATCTTTCTCCTAACAGAGCAGCTGGTCAGTTTGAATAGCTGACCTTCTGGTTAGCAGCCAAATGCCTTACTCACTACACCACCAGAGCTCCCTGCTTATAACCTGAGATTTTCTTAAGCTCTCAGGAGCTAATTGAAAGGCCAGCAGTTCAAACTCACCAGTTTCTCTGTGGGAAAAAGATGCCACAGTCTGCTTTTGTAAAGAATTACAGCCTTGGAAACCCATGGAGCAATTATACTCTTTCCTACACAGTTGCTATGAGTCAGAATTGACTCAATGATAATGGTATATTTACGCAAACTTGGAAAATTGATGGAGGTATGCTATGTACATGAATGAGTACGCAAACCACTTAACCAAGACGTTGAATGATACAATACAGTAAAACCTGAGAAAAGACAGAAACTGCATAAAGTAGAAACCTGTCAGAGAAGGAAAACTCAAATATTTTCCACTAACAAAGAAACAGGAAAGTAAATAAAGAAACAGAAATAGACTGTACCCTGTCAGAGGAAGATAACTGGCAAAAGATGGAAAACTTCCAAGATGTGGAAAAACAAAGCAGTTTGGTCAGTTTTGCTTATTTCTTGGAGTTTCAGACATTCATCACTCTGAATCCACTGCCACTGAGTTGATTTTGACTCAAAGTGACCCCACAGCTTAGGGCAAACTGCCCTATATGGTTTTTAAGGCTGCAAATCTTTACGGAAGCAGACTGCCATATCTTTCTCTTGCAGAGTAGTTTGTGGGTTTGAACCTCCAACCTTTCAGTTAGCAGCTGAGAGCTTAACCATTGCACCACAAGAGCTCCTATTTCTCAGATAATAGTACTTAACTGTTGAGTCTCACTGTGAAAGCTGTGAGAGCTGGAACTCGATGGACTGCCTTCTATTAAGAATCCTACCTCATACATACCCAGTGGGGTTTTCCTTCTCTCTCAAGTTTCCACCTTATACACGTCCTGGCTTTTGCAGATTTAATTATGTAAGGTTCCAATATCAATCAAACTAAGCCTAAAAGGAAAATGTAGCTTACTGCACCTCTGAAAGAGAAGCAGAATACTCCGTAAAGACCAGAGTTCTACCTCCACAACTTACTTTAGGGGTTTAGATGACATCTGCAACAGTTGGCCTAACACCAGTATTCACAGGGGCCAGAGAGGGCTTTAAGGATAGTCATGGCCTGAACTGTGCCCGCCCTCCCCCCCCAAATACTTAGCAACTTGGCTAAGCTATGATTACCAATATTGTGTGTCTATCCTCCATTTTGTGGTAAGTTGTAAATCCTAACCTAATAGGAAGTCTGGTGGTATAGTGCTTAAGGCATCTGACTGCTAACCAGAAGGCTAGCGGTTCAAACCCACCAGCCACTCCTTGGAAGGAAGTTGGGCAATCTACTTCTATAGTGATACCACCTCAGAAACCCAAGGACAGGTGGCTATGAGTTGGGTCTGACTCAAAGGCAATGAGTTTGGTTTTTTATTTTTTTTGATGATGTTAATGGAGCTCTGGAGGCACAGTGCCGGAGGCAATTTGACTGCTAACCAGAAGGTTGGTAGTTCAAATCCACCAGCCACTCCATTGAAGGAAGATGGGGCAATCTACTTCTGTAAAGATTTATCACCTTGGAAACCCAATGGGGGTTGCTATGAGTCAGAACTGACTGATAGCAGTGAGTTTGTTTTTGTTGTTGTTGCTATGATGTTAATGAGACAAGATTAGAGGCAGTTACATTAATGAGGCAGGATACAGACTATAGGATTAGGCTGAATCTTGAGTCAGTATCTTTTGAGATATAAAAGAGATTAACCAAGTGAGAAGAGATCAGAGGGACCTACTACCACCAAGAAAGAAGAGTCAGGAGGGAAGCATGTCCTTTGGACTCTGGGTTCCTGTGCTGAGAACTTCCTAGACCCAGGGGATGATTGATGCCAAGACATATACAGGTCTCCAAGGAATATCAGGCCCATAGTTGCTGAAAGGAGACAAAGACCTTCCTCTAGACACAGAGAGAAGCCTTCCCCTAGAGCTAACACTCTGAATTTGGACTTCTACCCTTCTAAGCTATGAGAGAACAAATTTCTGTTTGCTAAAGCCATCTACTTGTGGTATTTCTGTTACACCAGCACTAGATAACTAAGCCACTCCTCGGTAGGAAGGTTGGACAATCTACTTCCGTAGTGATACTGCTTTGGAAACCCAAGGAGGGGTCCCTATGAGTCGGGTCTGACTCGAGGGCACATAACAACAATAACAATAACTAAGACAAGAATAAAACTGAACTTGCTTATTTCTTGGAATTTAAGACATTCACTTATCTGAAAATGGTACCTAACTGTGGAGTCTTTTTATTTTGAGAACATTTTCCTCTCCTCTTAACTATTCTCCTTATGCAACACACTGAAGAACAGATGCCTCAATCATGAAGCCACCTTACCCTACTATAAAACCAGTGGTGGTTGAGTCCATTCCGACTCACAGTAGTCCTGTGTGTGTCAGAGTACAACTGTGCTCCATGGGGTTTTCACTGGCAGATTTTTTAGAGGTAGATCACCAGATCTTTCTTCTAAGGCACCCCCTGGGTGGACTCAAACCTCCAACCTTTTGGTTAGCAGCTGACTGCATTAACTGTTTGCACTATCCAGGGACACCTACCCTTTTATAGCAATCCACTAACTTAATGCAGCTCCAATCTATTCATTTACACTTCACAACAATCCTGCCAGGCACTTAGTTTTATTTCCATTTAGGATCAAAGGATGTGAGAATTGAAAAGGACCTTAGAGAACAAGTATTCCAACATCTTTATTTTAGAGGTGATGAAAACCAGGTCCACATAGGTTAGGTGCTTGCCTAAGGCCACAAAGTTAATTGGGGGCAGAATCTTTGTCTTTTGACTATAGTTCAGGATTTTTTTCTGCACCACAATGCCTCCTCATCCAAATGTAGCATTACAAAGAGGGAAGAGGGAGGGGCAGACGAGAAAACTACAGGAAAAGGAAGATGTCTGTCTTGCTAAAGATTTTTTTAATAAATAAAATATATAATTATAAAAGGAGTATAATCACATCAAGAAAAACAAGAAAACAGAAAGGGGGGAAAAATCACCCTAAACTCTGTTCTACCACTCTTTTTGGTTTTACATTTAAGTCTTTTTTCATGTACTTAGTTTTTCCATAATTTTACATTTCTTTTAACATTACTTTGTGAGCATTTTTCATACTGTTGCACAGAGTTTATAACTATGATTTTGAATTTGCTACACAGTTGGTTTCCTGAACAATTTAGGCTGCCTCCATTTCATAGGCTGCTGTTAACAAGAATGCAATAAACATTTAAGGCAGATAGCCACTGTTCCTTTGTAGACTGTTGCTCTAAGATGGTTGCAGGGCACTGTTTATACTCATTCACTTGCTTCTCTAGGTAAGTCCTGCCAAGGGTCATCAGAGAAAGGGATGGGTCAATGCTGGGAGTGCTCAGCTCCTGGCCAAAACACAGTCTGCTCCAGTTCCTTCTCTGTCCCTTCAACCAGCTGCCCCTGAGCAAAGTGCTCAAAGTATTTTTTCACTGACAGAAGATTCATGATTCCTATCAGATGTACACTTTCATCCAGGGAAAGCAGAGGGAAACTCACAAGTAGTGTTGCCAGTTGGGAATTGATCATTTCCTCACCCTCAATGAGCATTTGTTATTACTGTCCTTGAATACAGATCAGGATTCTTTAGTTCTTGCCCCAGCTGTGCTACTGTCAGTTTTGTGTCTTGGGCAATCACTTTCTAGCCCGGAACCCAGTTTCCAAATCCATAAAATAAAGGGATTGGACAAGATCACTAAGATCCCTTTCAGCTATGTCACTACACATACACACATACACACACAGGAGGAGCTCTGGTGGTGTAGCGCCTAAGGCATTTGACTGCTAACCAGAAGGCTGGTGGTTCATACCCACCAGCCACTCCTTAGAAGGAAGGTTGAGCAATCTACTTCCGTAGTGATACTGCCTCAGAAACCCAAGGAGGGGCCACCATGGGGGATTGGAGAAGATCACTAAG